ATCCTTATTCTAGGGACTCCTAACAAAAGTACCCTTGATTTTGGGAACTTCCTGTATATTATCACGATCGGCTTTCGCCCTGCAACTCGAGCAATGCTACTTACAACTCAGAAGTGGAGATTGAGACATCAAATGCTGCAATGACAGCAGAGCAGACGCAAGTCTATAACCCCGCTGGCAGGGGCCTCAATGACCTCCTGAAACACCCAGGGAACTCCTCCTTGTGTCTGCTCCAGGAGCTTCTTCAGCTCGCCTTTTGCTACACAGCATTTGACTGCCACCAGGGCTTCCATGAAAGATTTAACGAGCAGGCCAGGTCTGCAATTCCAAGCAACTCAGAATCTGCGACCCCTGGTCAGAGCGCATGCGCCTGCATCCATGTGCTTGGCAGCATCAATGCGGAAGCCAGCCACGCCCAGCCTCAATTCAAAGAATTGGCGCGCGCGCACACGTGTTTGTGTAAAGCATGTCTGGGCTTGTCGGCCCAGAGGTCGGATCCAGCCCCACCAACCCAACTTCGCCATACATGCCATACGATGAGTCGGCCAGACTGATACACATGCTGAAGGAGCACACTTGCGCCCAAGCAGCTGGAGCAGCTTGGAAAGATACTGGCCAACCACCTGCTGCACGCGGGGGCAGCCCGTGCATAGATCCGGGAGGCTGACCAAATCGCAGTACCTTGGTGACCCCAACTCAATGCATAATCACCCAGGTTAGCCATGTTAGCCGGACTATAGGGAAAAGCAATCCAGTCTTCTGGACATGCGGCTGAACGTTGAACTTGTCGTGGTAGTTGGTCACACCGCAATTCTGGCTGACGTCGTCAGGGCTATGGTGGAAATCATCCTGTGAGTAAATTGCCTTGCAAATGAGGGAGCACAGTGCTTCCCCAACCAAAGTCTCCACGCATCTCCACGCGTTCACTGTACTACCCTCCTGCTGTCGACACATTACGCAGACTTGCCATTCCTGTTTTTAGGTTGCATAACATGGCTGAGCATCTGTGGTTCGCCCACCGTAGGAGCTTCCCGCCGTTCCAACGCCACTTCCTGCCAGGAAGTGATGCGCCAGCCAGCGAAGCATGATCCCTTCCGGCAATCACGGGTACCAGCACCAAGAGATACACCTCATCCTCCTCCAAGCCTTCGATTCAAATCCGAGCGTCCTACGTACTGAAGACTGAAGTCTACCCGAGCTGTTAGGTCCTGCAGCCGCGTGGTTGATGACAGCATCCGCAATAATGTTGACACCTACCTTGGCGCAGCGTCCCACCATCTCCTTGAACTCCTGATGTCATGCAACGGCTGCGCAGGCACAAATCCCAGCATCTACAGAAGCCTTCTGCAAACTCATAGGCAATCCTCTTCGTTTCCAGAGCGGCTGGTCCTTGGTTCAATTCGGCGACCATGGTCTTGAGGTCGAACCAGTGCACATGCTTCACAGCCGCTTAGCAGAAGGTAACATCCGAAACCGTTCACAGAGATAATTACCATGCAAAATCGGGCCGCTCGAATAGGGCGGTAGAAGGCTCAAACCTAATTGGTAAAGCGTATGCTGTACGCACTTGATGATTCTTCATGCTAAGCATGGAATGAAGCAGGAATCAAAGGAAAGAGATAGAGAGAGAGGTTTCCTACTTCAGTGTAGTGGCCCGGCATCTTGGTCTCAAGGGCTAAAATGAACCCTAAAGCCTCCGACCAGCCTTCAACATCGCAGGTCTCCAGTGTCTCCAACTCTTGAAGTCAGCCCTCCATGTAACTATTAATACTCATATTCCTAGCAATACTCTCACGAATATGACTACTACCTTTTTTATTGCTATGATTAGCCTCCAGCAGGTCGAAGCAGTGAGTGGGTCACTGCCAGTAACCTCTAACTCCAAACCTGCGGCTGTTGGCCATGGCCTCAATGCTGATGCCGCCGGCGTTTACAGCCAACAGTCGTTTAGACAGAATTCTGATGGCCGTTTCGTATTGCCGACCTCGCCGAAAAAGAATTTGTCAAGGTCCCCTCTTGCAACCACACCTTTTTTATATTGGGATAATGGTTAAATGGAAACTACCATAATATAATAGGATATGTATTGGGGTTATATAGGGATATAATGGAAAATACAATGGAAACTTATGTGTTTTGTAGACTTGCCGATCTGTCTCCTGAAGACCTTACATCAAGCCAACCGACAATGCGGCGTAGCCCCTCAAGAAACTCCTGGATCCTTGCAAGGGGCAAGTTGTACGTCACCGGCTGGTATCGTGTCCACCACTGCCTCAGCATGCCCTCCACCGATCCAGCCATGTGCACAATCTTGCTGAAAATACTTACTGGTTCTTAGCAGGGAATAAGAACCAGTAAGTTTCCCTACATAACATATTCCCATATTCCCTACTAAGAGCTGGTAAGGAAAGTCATCGTCATCCTGGGACTGGCTGCATGAGGACTTCCTGGTATTGCGGCAAACCGAACACATAAGTTGAAACTTGTAGCACCCTGGTCATGAGAAGAAAGACTGCCCCGTGCGCCCTCTAGCTCCTGTTCGGCAATATGTGACATGGCATATGAACTATCATCTAAACTCCTAGTATGCCCCTTGTAAGCCCTTTATTGGTCCCCCATTCGCAGGAGCCACCGTAGCCTCACACTAACCTTAAACCCAAAACCCTAAACCCAAAACCCCAACCAAAACCCAAAACCCAAAAACCAAAACCCCAAACCCTAAGCCCAGCTGCGGGCCCTGGATGTGTTCCATGGGTGGCGAGACTTGAACGGCTGAGAAGCCCTGCAGGACTGGAGGCTGTGCTCTGCAAGAAATATCATATTAGGGGTATATTGGGATAATGGCAAAGAAAATGGAAACTACTATTTAGGGTTTATATAGGGCTTATATAGGGGTTATATAGGGATATAATTGAAAACTGGAAACTATGGGGGCAATATATAAGGATTACATAGAGATTATAGGGGGGCTAATACAAGGATTATATAGGGTTTATGGGGGTAGTATAGGGGGTATCTAGGGATAATGGAAAAGAAAATGGCAGCTACTATGTAGGGTTTAGGGGGGAAACCCAAGGTAGAGATCCTTCCGGGAGTGCCGAGAATGAGGACTGTGGTATATTGGGGTCTATATTGGGATCCCATATTAAAATGAAACTACAATTTGAGTCTCTGATGCTACACATGTTGCCAGCGCGAAATGCTTTACAAATCGGGCTCGTTTGGGCACTGCATGTGAATTCTACCCTAAACCCTAAACCCTAAACCCCTAAACCCTAAACCCTAAATTCTATGGAGGAACCAGCATCTACAAGTAATTACTAGTGATAGCGAAGAATTGCAAGAACCTGGCATCCGCATTGGGCGCCATCCTCAGGCCGACCGAAAATAATGATCGTAATAGTTTAGGTGGACCCCCCACCCAGTAATAGTGACTATAAGGGATAATAGGGATTATATTAGGGTCCTCTCATATCCTTATTATACCACTATTACAGGGTGGGGGGTCCTCCTAAGTAATAGTACAGTAATAAAAGTAGTAATCGTAATAGTAATAGTAATGGTTAATGGTAATAGTCATCATAGTAGTAGTAGTAGTAATAATAATAATAATTAGTGACAATTGTAAGGACCAACACTTCCCTCGAAGCCTTCGGGCCCAGCCATTCCTCACACTCTTGGGCCACATCCTTCCAGGACCTGACACCAACAAGCCACATTGGTAGAAACTACAATGCTTCGTCGAAAAGTGTCGATGTGATGCAGCTCTCTAAAGCCTCAACCCTGGCAGCACATGCGCATTGCCGAGGTCTCGACCACTCAAAGAGATGCACAAATGCATTCTTCGAAGGCACCGGTGGCCCTGAGATCGCAACGCAGCAAGTCAAACGCATATGCCCCCACAGGTTTTTTGTTGAGCGCTGGCTTTGCACCTGAAAGCCCCACACAAGCCCCGTGCGACACATGGTGACACAGACTTGATTTGAACTCTTGTCTTGCCTGCGGCACCGCAGGAAACTGGGCGCCGGGGCCGTGACATTTTGCGACATATGTTTCGCCACATGTCAGGTTGCCCCACTTAAGAAGCAACAAGAATGACAACAGTAATGATGTCTGCATGAGGCGCATGAACTACAGTCAAAATTTCCTTATGACGTTGATGGACATGGGTCCTTATTAGGGAATACAGCGTAGGACCTGTACTAAACTACCAAAAGCGACCCATATGTCCACCCTTAATGGTCCCTTGGAAAGCCTAATGTTGTCTCGAAACGCACAGGAACGCTCCCAGAGGTGTCGGGGTGAAACAAACGGCACCTACATGGCTCAAGCCTAATGTTGACAGTAGCTCACATAGTCATCAGCACCGCCTGTCCATCCCTGTGCAAACGCGAATGTCCAGCACCTCTCCTCTAGCCTCTAGCATTGGCAGCGCTCAACCTGATATCCTGACTGCATTACACAGATAAGCTGCAGTTCGCCCCTCTTTCTGCAGCCACGAGCAGAACCAGAGGAGTGCTTGCCAAAACACGTCTCATGGATGGCCTCAATGAAACAGCTCGAACAGCATGTTTTGAAACGAATTACCCCCCTAACAGGCGACGGTGAGCAACTTGCTGCGGAGAAACATTGAAGCTGGCAATCTCCAGTGGGGTGCCTTTGGCCGTTGGGGGAATGCCAGAGCCAGCTGAAGATGCTGCAAGCAGACAGCCAGCGCAGCTGATCACGCGACAAATTGGCGGTCAAGTTCTCAAAAACTGCTTGAACACCTCCCCACTTGTTACTTTTGGTTAGCTAGGAATGAAGGAATGGATCCTTACAGTAGTCCCTATATTGCCATTACTGGATAGTAGTTTCCGTCTTCTTTCCCTTCCTTCACTCCCAGCTAACCAACCGTAAGATTTGCCATCTAAACACCACTCCTTAAGCGTACTCAGCAAGACGGCCAGCACCATGAGAATAATGACAGCGGTAAGAAGAACAACAGAGGCCATTCGTTGCAACAGTACGCATAAAACTGGGTGGTCAACTTGAACAGGTATGGCAAAGACATGCGAAGGCAACTGCCGGATGCAATGAAGCCTCCTCAATCTGAGGCCACAAAATCAGGGATCCGCTTGATCAGGTAGATAGGTGGGTGGTTATCAAAATTATGGTCCCTTTTTGGGTACCCTAGATATTGGGTGCCGTATTATAATCGGGACCCAAAAGGGACCATAATTTTGACAACCACCCATGTTGGGAGAGAGAGAGAGAGAGAGAGAGAGAGAGTGCGGGAGAGCGTCGTGTCAAAATAGTGTCTTGTTAGTACAAGCCTTGTTGAGTCCTGTGCTCCATGTAACCGCTACATTACCAGCAGTCACACGTTGCTACATTACCCTGGTCAGAATCTATCTGTAAACGTGCTGCCGCAGGCATCATTGTGAATTCAACCCCCTCAAAATGATACAGGACCAAGTCAGTCGCGGCCTGCCCACACTCACAAGTGAAGGACAGCGACATCGCCTGACAAGTGACTCAGCTGTTCACCATTGCAAGCTGATAGCACAAGATTTCGTGTGTGACGCATGTCCAGCAATCCTTCAGCGTGTCGTACGAGCGATTGCACCTCTCACATCTGCATCTCCAGCATCCGCTCATGGCTGGGGAAGACTCTCATATGCAAGCTGTCAGCTGGGGACAAGGCTTGCTGCATCCATACCTGAGATCTAAAACACCAGAAGTCCCAGAATAAGATTAGGCAGACTACCGATGGGGGATATGTGGGGAGCAGGTATATCCCAGCCTGCCAGAGATCAATGAGCTATTGATGCATTACCAAAGCATCCAACATCCTGTGAGGTTTAGGGATGAATGGCGAAGCAAACTAAAAATTCAATGGAAATGAAAATGAACCTTGTATAGTCCCCGCACCTAAACCCTATATAACCCTTATATAGTCCCAGTACCCCAAGGGTAATATCCTCATTATAATACCCAATTCTTGCACAGTCCCTAACCCTACACCCTAAACCGCTGTTATTGGTTTCCCTTCAGCTGAGCCGCCTCTCTTCAACTTTGGTGGACAAAGATGTCTCCAGCAGCTGGAACCTGATACAATGGGTTTAGGGTTTAGGGGTTACCCAGCTGACCCCTAAAACCCTTTGAAAAATATTTGCATATAGGGTCCCTTATTAAAGCCATTAGGGAAAATATTGAATATCCCACGGGCCTACCCAGTACAATGGGTCAGGAGCACACATCTGAACCGGCGTGCTGAAATGATGCGAAGCACACACAAATCTGTGCCACATCACCCTACAACCACGTAGCCTTGCCTTTTGGCTGCTACTGCGACGGCTACGGGCGATATCCGGTAGAACGTCTGCAGCTTTTCTCCTGGCAATCGCGCAGCTCAAGGCATGAAAGTTGTTGACTCTACGCGGCTTTGATGTCTGGGCCAAGCCTATCCCCTCTGCAGTTTTGTCGATGATGCAGTCAGGAACCAGCCTGGCTGCAAGCACTCAAGCAAGTCCTTGCCCAGCGCTCCTTTATGGCTTGGCCCGAAAAGTTTTGCAACGGTCTTGGGCATTTGAGGCTGCAAGGCAAGGAGCAGAAAGACCTGATGGTGACCAGGTGTCGTGGCTTGGCAGGCGGCAGTTCCGGTATTGCGTATGCCTGAGTTCCCGTATTACGTATGCCTAGGAAGAGTTGTGCGGCCTGGGGGATGCCTTTCCGATCCAAAACTTCTACACAAGATCACGCATGAAGCCTAGAACCCCAGCAGGCTTCGGGGCTTCAAGAACGCATTTTGCCGTCCACGGTTGTACTATGAAAATACCAGTTGTGATGGCTTGCGAGCCCAGAGGTGATGACATTTTCGCATTTCGCGAGCCCACGACTCCACAACCCTTAGCCCTAAACCCTATATAAAGGGTTATATAATCCCAGTACCTAAACCCTATATAACCCTCATATAATCCCAGTACCCCAATGTTAATACCCTATTATAATACCCAATTCTTGCACAGACCCGAGATGCCTTGCCTTCTTTCCAGCAGTTGCCGAACCTGGCGCTCAGGCCTTGGATTCACCAAAGGACTCGTAGGGACAGCTCGCAGCAGTCTGCACTCGCTCAACACTCCTGGATATCGAACTGCTCAAGTTGAAGTAGGCTTTTTGAAGACCTCGTAAAAGAAAGGTAGCACCCATAACCATCTGCTCTAAACCCTGATATCATGCCTAATTAGTTTCCACACGGCGCTGGGACGTGACCAGCTAATTTTGCCAGGGCAAACATCTGTCTTCAAGGCGTAGGTTTGTTTGGATGGTCGGCCAGTTTTCACCCCGGCCAATGCACATATAACAACAATAAGAGTAAGAATAATGACAATAGATGATGTAGTAATAAGAGAATACAATACTAACATCAATAATAAGAAGAAAAATGCTGTCATCAATAACAGTATTTCTTAGTAAAAATATGACTATGTGAACAGGCAAGGCATACCAACCTTGTGCTCAGCCAAATCTCCAGGACTTTGACAGTGCAATTTCAGCTGCAAGTGTCCGAGAGGTCGGCAAGCGAAGAATCCGTGCAAGAGCGGCATCCTTCATCTTAAACTGCTGTCGGTACCTTCCACTTGCACTTGCAAAGCTGCGTCGACACAAGCCTTGCAGGGACTGCCCACGGATGCTCAGACAAACTGCCGGCAGTCTTTCAATAGACGGGGGCCGCAACAAGCCTGATTGTCTGAATGTTTACTGATCTCTTCCCTGCATACCCTTCAAATCTGCCAACATCGGCCAAACAAGGCAACCCACCCCAAATAGTTGAGTAAATCAGTTCGACATGCCCGGCCCAGCACCACCTGGGTGCACGACCTTGCCAACAAGCCCTTGCGTGCAAAAGACAACTTTTTTTGACGCGACTATGCGTTCATGCTTTGCAATCATTCGCTGCAAAGCTAGAATTAAGTTCGGTCGAACGCTCGGTCGTGAATGCATAATATCATAGAGCCCTACCCGTGCTCCCGGGAACAGCGCTGTTGATCCTTGACTGATTTCTCACAAAAAGTTGGCTCGAGCATCCGTGCAACGTGGAAGACCAGGCGTTCTCCACTCAACCCACGTAGCATAGGACGTGATCAGGCCACAGCGGTCAAGTCTTGATTTTCCGGATCTTGAAGGTGACAAGTACAAGCACTAGATCAACACCAGGAGTGTTATCCATCGATATTCATTCTAACGGACAACACTACTACTGGCAGTTCTGAACATGAATATTGTAATCGGGTCTATTTTTGTGATTGGCCAACCACCGGCTGGGCTGAGGCTGAGGAACGCTACGGCAAGCTATGTTCAGGAGTCATTCGTCAAGCTCTGGCTTTCACAGAGCCTGCGAAAACTCGGTTGGTCCACTTCTGGGCTAGGTAATGCACGAGCAACCTTGCGAGTGCCTTAGCTGACGAGGCGGCTGTGGCAGACTGTAGCAAGCAACCATAAGCCCCTACATAATCCTAATGTCCATTTCATTTTCCATGTTCTTTTCCATTTGATTCTCCATTTTAGGGGTAATGTCCCTATTATACAGTCCCCCTTAAGTAGATTGGATATGGCTTTGGGATATATTATAATAAGATCCACTCCATACACCCCATATTCTATCTACTTAAGGAGGACTCTACCCCTTGAAGGAGACCAAGGGTTTCCATCTATTAGGGGCATGCTATCCCCAATATAGTAACCAGAGATTTATAGCATCCCCTGGGGCTCAGCTTCTCATAGTATATTGGGGGCTTAGGGTTTAGGATTGAGGGCTTAGGGTTCAGGGTTTAGGGTTGGGGTTATGCAAGGATAATGGAAAAGACAATGGAAACTACTGTAATATCTTAATAGGGGTTATAGGGATAATGGAAAAGACGATGAAAACTACAATAATATATACTATGGGTAATAGGGATAATGATGATGGAAATGCTGATGCAAACTACTATAGGATATAATAGGGGTTATAGGGAGAACGATAATGGAAAAGATAACGGAAACTACTGCCAAGCGTCCACAAAAATCCAACATCCAACTGGACGGCAGCACGACTATCTCGAACATCGAGCGCCAGGAATGCCGCCATCGTCAGTGTTCGCTCACTTGCCGGCCTGGGTTTAGGGTTTAGGGCTATATAACCCCTATATACTATAGTAGTTTCCATTTTCTTTTCCATTATCCCTTGCTCTCCACAGCATGGCCCTAGGCCTCAATTGTTGTTTGATCCTGGTGTTGAACCCTAAACCCTAAACCCCAAACCCTAAACCCTAAACCCTAAACCCTTGCCCCACCTTGGCCTTCTTGGACATCATCTTCTCCCACTCGGCCTTCATGGCTTCCTGGCACCTCTGGTCGAGCTGCATGATGTTCTCCTGTGAAAGGCTGACAGCTCATGGCTGAAATAGTAAGAATAAGAATAATGAATAATAATTGGATATCTATAATAATAAGAGTAATCACAGTAATAATAGTAGTAAATAAAATAAATAGCAATAAGAAGAGACCCAGGCACCTGCATCAGATTGACACGCTACTGTAGCACTCTGTGCGATTCTTTGGACATGAATCTTTCGGACCCAACCAAACGATCCAACGGCCTTCGTGTAAGGATACTCAACTTCCTCCGCATCTGCGGGAATCTGTCCATGATCCTGGCAGCGCTACCTACTTAGCTGCCTCAGCAGCCCTGTCGCTACAACTTGCACACCACTTCATGGATGATGCATGCTAGCTTTAGGGGAGCTCACAGCCACTTCCAGCAACAGGGTTCAGCGCCTTCATCATCTTGATGTACATCTTCCACTCCTTGAGGCACTCATCGAGGTGCTTCTCCAAGGGGTGGGCCTTGATGTGCTTGTAGGCCTGCATCGGCAGAACAACAGCCATGAGCCGCCCGTGCTACATGTGAGCTATAGTCTAAGCTCCTAGTATCCCCCTTAATAACCCCTATAATCGTCCCCCATACAACCGTTGAGACTCTAAACCCTATATATCCCTATATCACACTATATAATTCCCTATATAAGCCTATATAATATATATCATCCCCTATATAACCCCCTGTAAGGACTTGAGACAAAAGCTCACGTAGACTGCTTCGCACCTTGAGCTTGTCAGCTTCGCCCAGCTCCGCGGCCAGGTCCGGAAATTGAGTCTGGAAGGCAACTTTTGTTACAGCTTAGCCTTATATGTATCATTATCATTACTAATATTCTTATTGCTATCTTATTTACTATTATTATTACTGTGATTACTCTTATTATTATAGGTATTCAATTATTCATTATTCTTATTCTTACTATTTCAAATGTTGTGCTTTTGTCAACAATTGTAGGACACGGCTCAGCCTGCAAGATGACCATGGTCGCCAGCACATGGGCACCCTTGTAAATGTAGTTGCACCTGCGGGGCAGTTACGAAACCTGGGGAAGCGGGAATCGCAATAAAGGTAGGGCAGGTGCTCGTAGTGATCGTCCCGCGTCTGCTTCGGCAGCCAATCGCGCACACCTGCACCACCCAGTTTCCATTCGATTTTCCATGTGATTTTCCATTATTCCTTTTTATCTCTTGTGCGGCCCCTGCATAATCCCAGCTCCTATTTCATGTTCCACGTTCTTGTCCATCTCACTCTCCATTATTGGGGGCAATGTGGCCGCATAATCCAGATTCCACCCTATGTATATATATATATAGAAACTCTATTAATATGGCAGTTCCAATTTCTTTTTCACTCCTTCTTTATAATCCCGATTCTCTGCCATCACTCCATCATAAAACCCTACCCCCTATACGCCTTTGGACTTGGCGGAGCTTCAAAGTTGAAGTTCGGGGGACCTCCCACCCTGTAATAGTGGCATAGTAGGAATGCGACAAAGAACCCTAGTAAAGCCTCCTTGTCGCTACTACTGTGCCGGAGGGTCCATCTGATGTTGGACCTTCAAAGGACCGAAGACTCAGTGGCATCAGTAGTAAATTGCAGCAACGATAAGTACAAAACACATCTCTTTCTTAGCCAAAACCCTAAACCCTAAACCCTGCCTACGAACTTGTCAGGGTAATCGATGAAGTAGCGGTTCGTGATAATCTGCCCAGCGTAACCTCAGCCGGCCCAGGGCATCGCGTTCATGCTGGCTGGACGCCAACGGCATATTTGCTTAGTGCGCGATCACCCTGCCAAGAGGCAAAATGAGGTTACAAAAGGTTTATATGTAGGGGCTGTATGTATAATATGTGTATATATATAAGGGTTATAGATGCAAGTCTTACCTGTAGGTGTTATAGATACATATTTCCACATATAGGGGTGAGAGAGATATAGAGAAAGACAGTGAGAGATCAGTAGTTTCCATTTTCTTTTCCATTCTCCCTATATAACTCCAATATACTATAGTAGCTTCCATTTTCTTTTCCATTATCCCTATATATACCCTAAACCCTAAACACTAAATGGTAGTTTCCATTCTCTTTTCCATTATCCCAATATTACATATTCCCTAGTTTCCATTTCATTTTCCATTTTCTTTTCTTCCATTTTCTTTTCCATTATCCCAATATTATACCCCAAATATATACCCTATAGAATCCCTATATAACCCATTATAGTAGCTTCCATTTTCTTTTCCATTATCCCCAATATAAAGCCA